TTCCCACCCCCCCTGATCAACCCTGCTTTTGTAGATGAACAGGGGGGCAGCGCCCCAACCCCCTTTTTGGGCCCTTTTTTTGTGCGGTGACCAGGGGGTGCACTGCAACTTCCCAATCGACCCGCCTTGAGTATGACAGGGGGCGGTGCCCCACCCCCCATTCGGCCCTACCATGAGCGTGACTGAGGGTGGCATCGCAACCTCCCGATCTGCCCTGCTCTGTGCATGACAGGGGGCGGTGCCCCAACTCCCCAATCATCCCTGCTCTGATTCCGACCAGGGGCTGCACCTAGGGATTGGGCCTGCCCTCTGCCACCCGGGAGCAGGCCTAAGCCAGCAGGTCGTTATCTCCCAAGGGGTCCCAGACTGCAAGAGGGCACAGGCCGGGCTGGGGTATCCCCCCCCTCGCCCCCCTGAGTGCACAAATTTTTGTGCACTGGGCCTCTAGTAATATTATAATTGGAAAGAAGAAAAAAGGTGTGACAATTACATGAACACTAGAGGTCCCGTGCACAAAATTCTTACACTCTGTGGGGGGGGGGGGTGTCCCCTCAGCCCGACCTGCGCCCTCTTATAGTCCGGGATTCCTCAGAGGATGTCTGCTTGCCAAGGATTGGGCCTAAGCCAGCAGTCAGACATCCCTCTTGCAGTCTGAGGCTCTCGCAGTCCAGGAACCTTCACTCCTTACCACCTGTCTGCAGCAGAGGCGGGAGTGGCTCCTGCCACTTCTGCTGCGCTCATCAGCCATGAGCCTGGCTTCTGGCTGAGTGGAGCTCCCCTGGTGGGAGTGCAGTGACCACCAAGGGGCAGCTCCTGCGATGACCGTCTGCCCCCTGGTGGTCAGTGCACATCATAGCGACTGGTCGTTCCACCGTTCGGTCAATTTGCATATTAAGGTTTTTTATTATATAAAATTGTACTATCAGCCAGGGAATCATTTGTGCTAACTGTACCCTTAAACCCGTGGTCGGCAAACTGCGGCTCGCGAGTCATATGCGGCTCTTTGGCCCCTTGAGTGTGGCTCTTCCATAAAATACCATGTGCGGGCGCATTGTACAGTGCAATTGAAACTTCGTGGCCCATGCACAGAAGTCGATATTTTGTGGAAGAGCCGGTATTTTGTGGAAGAGCCACACTCAAGGGGCCCAAGAGCTGCATGTGGCTCGTGAGCAAGGGCTTGCCGAGCCGCAGTTTGCTGACCACTGCCTTAGACAATCAATATTGTCAACATAATACATATTATTATATTTAACCATGGATCAGGTTATCATAAAATTATCTCAGTATAGAATTCTCATGGGTATGTAAATCAAGGCATTTCTTTTAAAAAAAAAAAAAAACCTTTCATATGCTTTGTCAGATTAAGTGCTGTGTAAAGTACTTAAATCATATTCATGTGCATTTTCACATATAGGTATCTCATCCCCAGCAATGAGATTACTACCAGGAAAGGAACCAAAGAAAAGATTGTTACCTGACATTTCATGGTAACAACAAGGTTTAACTAAAAAAACAATGAAAGTAGCTTTGTTTTGCAAAACTATTTTTCTCATGAAACGTAATCTAATGGGATTATGCCAGTTTCGCCCCTTCTTCTGAGGTAGCTGAAACCCCTTTGCAAGAAATACAGTTGTAATCAACTCTGACAATAATTAAAACCAAGAAATGGCTTGAGGGGTAAAATGAAAGTTTCTAGTTTCTAAACTTTTTTCCTTTCTCCTCCCTCTGCCCCTCCCTTCCTGTTTTGTTTTGTGTTGTGTGTTGTTTTTCTCCTCACAAAGACAAGAATAAACCACTAGGCTAACGTGCTGTTCAAAGAGTCATGAGGCGAACAAAGTTTACAATTATTTCTGGAAGAAGGAAGGCAGAGCGCTCCTCTCTCCAATCAGGCTTACCTGCTCTATCATGTCCAGAATATGCAATTCATCCAGGCTATAGAACTTTCCTTCAGTTGTGGAATCTTCTTGAATACCACTTATATCTACTGGGTGTAGATTTGCTTGCTCTTTCTTCAAATGCTCTTCCTTTCCTACCATATTTGGGCTACAATAATGATAAAATCAATGTGATCTTTTAGAATTGTATGGAGTTTTTCATCTAAACCATTGTTTTCTAAATTAATATTGCACTGGTCTCATGAGATGCTCAGCATCAGAAGGGTTTATGGTCTAAATTTTAGACAGTGCTCAGACTGTGTTTTCTTGGAAAATCACAATGAATTTTAGTTTATTTGAAATAGCACTTATCCCAGTGTTTTCAAGAACTACAAGATCATGAAGTTCGTTTTCTAAATTGTAACTATTAACATCAATTACTTTGGAAAATATTGACAAGCATTTCCACATCTACTATAATATTTTATCACAAAATTTTTGACAGGTAGGTTGGTTTAGTCAACTTCAGCACTTAGGTTCAGTATACATTTAAATAGAAGGCTGCAAACAGCAACATAAAGTAGATTTTTAAGTGCATGTTTCTTTTATGACAGGACCTTAAAAAACTGTAGTAGGAACCACTGCGAAAAACATAAAAATATTACATGTACAATGGCAATTAAACCATTATTATACCTACTAGAGGCCCGGTGCATGAATTCGTGCACCAGTGGGGTCCCTTGGCCTGGCCTGTGGGATCAGGCCGAAACTGGCTCTCCCACATCCCCAGAGAGGTCCCGGATTGCAAAAGGGCTCGGGCCAGGCTGAAGGACCCTACCAGTGCAAAATCTGGGCTGGGGAGGAATGTGGGAGGTTGGCCAGCCAGAGAGGGACCATAGGAGGGCTCCATGGCATGTCTGACCCATTTCACTCAGTCCTGGACCCCAGCAACAAGCTAACCTACCAGTCGGAGTGTCTGCCCCCTCGTAGTCAGTGCACATCATAGCGAGCAGTTGAGCGGCCTTAGCATATCATTAGCATATTACGCTTTGATTGGTTGAACGAAAGACCAGACACTTAGCATATGAGGCTTTTATTATATAGGATGTCTAAAGGGTCAATGCATATTACTATCCTTTCAGTTGGCTACTATTTAGTAGCTATAAATTTCCTTCCTAATCTCATTGAATGGTAACAAAAAAATAATACTTAAAAAATAGTACTTTTACCATGATATAAATGACTTGATTTTCTCAGTGAATAGGAAAAAAAAAAACAACGGTAACTCTCAGATGCATTATTAATTCTTTTAGGCCACTGAGATCTAAGAAAATTGAAACCTACTGCTTGTAGAGTAACTTGTAAGACACTAGAAAACACTCATTAGGTATCACTTAAGTATTCCAGAATGATTCAAACATTTTGGAAAGTTCAATGAAATCAACTGTTTGTATACCAATGGATCCCAAACAAAACTGATTTTCTAAATTACCTGAAAAATTTCTTTAAATTTACATTGTTCCAGGTACCCCAAAACTGTAAAAATATATACACATTTGTATTTTTGAAAAGTCCAGAAGATTATTCCTAAATTTTTAAAGTATGATTAACAGCATTGTGAAAATATAGGAAAATGTTCATAGTACTAAGAGATGCAAACTGAAACATGCAGAGGTAAAATTACATAAACTTAGGGATTGAAAACCCATCAACAAAGAACAAAATGTTAAGGAAAGAATGAAACAAATGTGGAAAATAGTAATAACTGTTAAATTGAGAAGATAGGTAAATGTACTAATGTAGACATATTATTTTCTTCACTTTTTTGTGTATTTGAACATTTTTATTAAAAAGCTCCCTGGGTGATTTGATGATCAAACAGGTTTAGGTATACACTGTAGGCAAAATAAGCAAAATGACTGATGATATTATTATATTCTTTAGTAAGTTATTTTCATGACATTTACACACTGCCTGAAAATTAAAGAAAAAAAACATCCTATTATTCTATGGCAGTAATTTCAGCCTTTTTCATCTCATGGCACACATAAAAATTACTAAAATCTGCAGCACACCAAAAATATATTTTTTGCCAATCTGAAAAAAAAACTTGGTATAATATTTACTCATTCATACCAATGGTTACTGTTGTGTTGGTTGTTGTTATTTTTTTAAAAAAATATATTTTTTATTGATTTTTTTTACAGAGAGGAAGGGTGAGGGATAGAGAGTTAGAAACATCGATGAGAGAGAAACATCGATCAGCTGCCTCCTGCACACCCCCTACTGGCGATGTGCCCACAACCAAGGCACACGCCCTTGACTGGAATTGAACCCGGGACCCTTCAGTCCGCAGGCCAACGCTCCATCCACTAAGCCAAACCGGTCAGGGCGTTGTTATTTTTTTAATATGACAGTCTAAGGGAAAAGAGGTCAGTGCTCCTGACTAAATAGTCAAATATTGCATATTTTTAAAAATTCTTGCAGCACAGCAGTTGAAAATCATTGCTGTAAAGGCTTTCTCTATTGTTGATAGAGAAAGTGAAAATCCACCTTGGATGATGAACTATTTAGTTATTAAGTGGATCATACCAATTAACAATGAGAAAATATCAACTATAAGTGATGGCTTGAAAGTTGACAAAATATGTATGTACTTGTTTGCATTTTAAAGATAACATGTTCTCACAATGAGTTCTGCAAAGGTCCCAATTTCAGTGAAGAACCTTTTTGGAGAGTATTAATGATCTCTTCATTGGATTGTCTCCCCCACTTCCTTCCTCTGCTACACTGTCATCAGTCTAATGGCTGTATAATATAGCTCACAGTAATCTTTAGGTACGAAAAGGTTTCTAGTAAAGATTCAAAATTCACTGTTAATAATCAAGATTTAAAAAACACACACCAAACCTCAGGTCAATTAAACATACTAAATTAAAACAAATAAAAACAAACTCATGCTAAAATAATCAGTGGGACAAACAATATTCTGTCCTTTAGAGTTAAGTTTTATTTACTAAATAAGTCTTATTTAGTAAAGTCTTGGGTTGTGGTTAGCAAATCTAGACTATATTTTAAAAGATTTTATGCTGCCCTAACCAGTTTGGCTCAGTGGATAGAGCGTTGGCCTGCAGAGTGAAAGGTCCCAGGTTCGATTCCGGTCAAGGGCATGTACCTTGGTTGCAGGCACATCCCCAGTAGGGGGTGCACAGGAGGCGGCTGATCGATGTTTCTCTCTCATCGATGTTTCTAACTCTCTATCCCTCTCCCTTCCTCTCTGTAAAAAATCAATAAAATGTATTTAATTTAAAAAAAAAGATTTTATGCTGGACCCAAATTAGTTCTCAAGTCAAGCTGTTAGCAATGGATGACTCCTGAGTAGCCTCATAGAAAAATGATAAGAGATTCTATTCTACCAAAGTAAATGATGTTGATTTTTTTCACTTTCTGTAAATGGTGACAACTTATTAAGGAACTGTCCTTTCTTCTCTTACTGAGAACACTTCCCAAGGCAAGGCTGTGTAATACTGGAAAAGCACATTTTGAAATACTAAGAAACATTTAAAAATTAAATAAACTAATACTTACACTTGTTCTTCTTTTGATTCCTTATTCTGAAAAACAACATCAAGAATTAGTAATTTATATCAACCATGTCAATACAGAAGAGTGATCTGACTACATTTAAGTCAGTATTTCTCAAACATTTTTGACCACAACCATTCTAAGAAATATATTTTACCTAATGATGTAAATGCACTTAATTGTCTTTACACATAATTAAAAAACAAATATAAGTTCCATGAAGTAAACCTCATCCATATTATGTGTGTTGTGAACTGCATATTTGTATTCCCTCCCCAAATTCACACATTGAAACGCTAACCCCTGATGAGATTGTAACTGGAAGTAGGCCCACTGGGAGGTAATTAGGTTAAAATGAGGTTGTGGAGTCCTCATAATGGAATTAGTGCACTTATGAAAAGAGATCAGAGAGCTACTCTTTTTTTCTCTCCGCCATGTGTTCACAGAACAAGAAGATAGCTGTCTGCAAACTAAGAGGGCCCTCACCAGACACCAAATCTGCTGGCACCTTGATCTTGGACTCCAGCACTGTGAGAAACAAATTTTTAAGCCACCCAGTCTATCAAAGCTTATTTTAGCAGTCCAACCTGACTAAAACAACAGATGATGAACTCTGGAAACTTTTTTATTCCTACCTATTCTATTTCCTTTTTAAAAATGGTAGTTGTGACCCACTAAATTGATTTTGTAATCTACTACTAAGTAATGAAACACACTTGAAAATCCTTGATTCAAATATTGGAAGTTAAGTATTGGGTCTGAATTTATATCTTGGGAAAGAGTAAACTGAATTCTCATTTAGAAAATTATATACTAAATACAAGAATTCTTGAAAATCAACATGTAAAAAAAGCAGATTTATATATTAAAAAATCTTGAAAAAAGAAATATTAGGGAAATCACAATTGGGAGGACATGTAAAAAAGCCCTCAATCTTATGTTCATTAAAACAGAACTATGAAAACAACATACTATGTAAGTATTGATGATACTTAACACATGTTAAATTAAGTATAATTACTCACGTATTACCTTTAAGAGTATTAATTACTCTTACATAAGTTACAGTACTGATTTCTACAACCTCTTGTTTACAAGAAACTTCAGTCTCTTTACCTAGAGATTCCATAATGTACTTACAAATCTGTTTGTTTTTTCTGTCTGTATACCAAGAGGGTTTTTGCATTTCAGTGTCTGATCAATGTCTGGTGGCAGTTTGATTCTACAATTAAGAATTATGGGCCCTGGCCGGCGTGGGTCAGTGATTAGAACATCAGCATGCAAACCCAAAAGTCACGGGATCGATTCTGGTCAAGGGCATGTACCTGGATGGCAGGCTCTCTGTCCCCATTGAGGCACATGTGGGAGGCAATCAATTGATGTGGCTCTTTCACATCAATGTATCTCTCTCTCCTCTCTCCCCCTCTCACTCTCCTTTCCACTCTCTAAAATCAATGGAAAAAATATCCTCAGTTGAGGATTAACAAAATAAAACAAAACAACATAAAAAGAATTATGAACACCTTTGGTTCCAGTGTACTTGAATAATTGAGTTGAAAAGACTTTTGGTTGTTCATAGTGAACATACCTAGTTATAGTGTATTAGCTCTATATAGTATATTAACTTTATTCTAATGCATGTATCAGTCTGTCTTCTTCCCTTCTTTAGAGAGGACATTCAATTTGAAAGCCTCAGTTTACTGTATTTCCTGCCATGTTTCTTTTATCTCGAAACTTCATCACAAAGCCTTCTATTCTTCTGCCATCTTCTTTACCTTTCTTTTCTATTCCTAACTCTCAACTCCTTTGGTGGGGGGTGGGAGTAAGAGCAAGAATAAGAGTAGTTAATACTCTTCATGGAAGAATAATATATAAGTAAATAACACTCAAATTAAGCCCAAAAAGATATTTACAATTTGAACATATTAAAAACTAAATACTAAATTTCTAACTGAAGAAAAGGAGTATAAAAAGTAGCTACAAAGTCTCTGTACATACTAGTTAGAAGTTATCTATACTGTACCCTCCATTTGCTACACTTATTTTACTTTGTTATCACATTATTTTTAGGACTTGAACTATCACTAGGTAGAAATGTTGCAAAACAAATAATTAACAAAAGACACAATTTCATGCATAGGGGCTTTGTCATCACTCTGTTAACACAAGCAAATTTCTATATGCTAGAATTTTTCATGAGGAAAACTCATGATTAGAGAATTGGAATGACTTAATTTTTATGAGTGTTTGCTGATACTACAAGTAGACAATTCTTTGCACTTAAAATAAAAGCAATTGAGTATATAAATAGGACTTTTATATATCAAATGATGATATGCTAAAATTCAGCATTTTTAGGCCCTTAAAATTTAGATAAAAGATTTAAGATCTCTCTTCTAATGTCCAAAATGTATCTTAATAAAATTATCTTATGTTCAAAGAATCTCAACTTCTTTAAAATATATATGTATATATATATATTTATTTATTTTTATCGAGAGAGAAAGGGAGAGGGAGAGAGCAAGAGAAGCATAAATCTGAGAGTTGAATATCAATTGGCTGCCTCTTGCACGCCCCCTACTTGAATAGAGCCTAAAACCTGGGTATGTGCCCTGACCTGGAATGGAAGCAGCAACCTTTTGGTGCCCAAGATGACACCCAACCAATCGAGCCACACCAGCCAGGGCTCAACTTCTTTGGAAAAAAACTTAGGATGTTAAAAAAAAACACACTAAAAAACCCCACAGGAATTCCTAGATAGATGCTGACATATATAAAGACATTTAAAATATTACTACAGTATAAATTTTTGAATGGTGTTCACATTTATTTCCAGGTGTATTTATTCCCTATTTAATTTTAATTTGAAAATAAAGTATGAATTTTTAAAAAAAATTTCCCCAAAATGACTCTTGGCTTTTCCTTGTAATTTTACAAGCAATTAAAAAAACTTCTTGCTAAAACTGTGCAATAGTAACCTGTTCGTTTTTCAATTGGCTAAAACAAAGAAAAGGCATGAAAGAAGTTTTATTACATTTGTACCATTTTAGCACATTACTGCATTGTTGGCAGATTATTAAACACAAAAAGAAATCAAGATTTTCTAAGGTTTTAAAAAATGCTTCTGAACATATCAGTAGAAATATGATGAAAAGCCATTTTTAAAACACTGAGCAGACATTTTAAAAATGAGAGTGGTATGCAGAAATTAAAGGAATTCCTAATTCCTTTAATTTATATTTAAATGTATAAATTATGATTTAGGGAAGTAAAATAGGCACACTGTAAGTTTAAGTCATTCAGGATCTAACACAGATAGACTTTTTTATAATCATATATTCAATAAGCTACTGACAATTTAAGTCATTTGTACTATATGTCTACTTAGAATAATTATATAAGTTCTAACAGTGAGTCCATATATTACACAAGTTGTTCATAATTTGACATCCCTCTATTATAATGCTAATATAGTCTCTTACCTTTTTACTTTTAGTCTTTTTCTTTTTCATTAGTTTACTCTTAACCTGATAGGTAAGAAATAAATCATTTATTTAATATGAAATCAAACTGCACAATGAGTTTTTTTTTAAATAAATTTCCTCTAAATGCTGAAATCTTTTATCTTCTAATATTATAGGTCATATTTTCTTTCTAGATTCTATGGAAATTTTTCATTTTCACCACAGTCTTCTGCTCTTAAAATAAAAGCACTGATGCATAATGGAACAACAAACAACGTCAGTGAGTAGGCCACTGAATAAAACTCACAAGTCCTCACTTCCACACATGCATGCATGAGTAATGAAGGAGGAAGGCACTTTTAAGAAGTCAAAAAATTCAGGTCCATAAGATAAAAAATTAAGCCTAAGAAGAATTTAGTGACTGTATAAAAACTGGTGCCACTTTTCTATAAAGAAATACAGAATTCCAACCTGGATGATTTTAAATCTACCTCTGTGCAAATGGTGTTGAAATATCCCTGTTTTTCCTCCATTCTCTCTCCTTCTATTCCCCATGATGCTTTCCTCTACTCTCTATTAACCTCTCACATCCACTCCCATCAATCAGAATAAAGAAACATGTTCACAAGTCTAGCATAATGCCTGCCACATAATAAATGTCCAATAAATGTTGGTGAAATGAATGGTTAAGGCACGAAATATTATGGAATAAAGTACTAGAGAAAAAACCATTACATATTAAGTTTTGTGCGAACACTATTAAATATAAACTAAGAGTGTCTTGGACTCTTCAAATATAGCACATGCAACAAACTAAAGGCTCTGATTATAAAGTTCTTCTTATTCAAATATTAATAAGAGCTTATACTTCCTGGAGATCCTTAATAGATTCTGTTGAAGATTCACTAGGTATTGATGCACCATCTTTATTCATTTCTGCTAACTGTATCTCAGGGTTTGATTTCACATTTATATTATACTCCATGAGAAGTGGACTTAGTTCTTCTTCCTCATTTTGTAATTCTTCTATGTCAATATCTAAATATTAAAGACAAAACACTCAATATTTGAATGCATACAATTTTAGCTTCTATCATTATTATAAATATATACCTCCAAAACACCACTCCAGAAGTAGAAATAGAAGACATATTATTTTGTTGAATTACTAGACGAAAACAAAATGCCTATTTATCAATGACCACATAATAGGTACATATACTAGCCTGAACCCAAATGCGAAGATACTTTATATTAAAAAAATAAAGCACGAAAAAAATGAAAATTAAAAAATTAACAACTCACTATCCAGCAAAAAAGATAAAAGCTACATAAGCTGAAAAGTAGCACGTATGAACAAGTAGAGCAAGCAGTTATGCATGTTTGCCTGTTGAAGTGTCCTGTGTATCAAAAAGTTAAAATACTATGCTTGGGTAAACCTTGCGGCACTAGCACTAAGACCAAAGCAGAGTAAAAAGGCTCAAACTAGATTCAGCTGACCAGTAGTAATTTGAACACATGATTTTCCAAGGCTATAACAATGACAGTTGGTCATATAGTTTATCTGACCAAGTAAGACCCTTACAATGATCCCTTAACTTTCCCAAATTGAAAAGTCACTTAAGCATTTTGTTTATAACACACTTACGTTGACTGCCGGTTATTGACTGTAGAGCAAGTCCTATGATAAAGAAAACATTTAGATGTATAATTGTAAATGCAACCAAAAAATATATGACTGGGACTAAGAAAAACCAGATTTTTATACTGCACCATGTTATTTTATAACTAACTGTAAAAATAATCAGCTTCACTCATGAATCTAGTTTAAAACAAGGCATGACCTTTAGATTATAACATAAAAGTTATAAACCCATGATTAGAAAAAGAAGTAAACAAAATTTTTGACAGTTCTTGATACATAATGCCTAGATTACAAGCACTTTAAACCAAGCAGCAAATTGTTATAATATATAAAGTCTAAGGTCATGAAGTCAAACTTCCATGGAAAGTTTGAGCCTTTTTAGCAATATTAATTATCCTGACCAGCACTCTATTCTCCTTGCACATCCTATATAATAAAACCCTAATATGCAAACCAACCGAAAGGTAGAACGACCAGTTGCTATGACATGCACTGACCACCAAGGGGCAGACACTCAACACAGGAGCTGTCCCCTAGTGGTCAGTGCGTTCCCACAGGGGGAGCACCGCTCAGCCATAGGTCGGGCTCATGGCTGGCGAGTTCAGCAGTGGTGGCAGGAGCCTCTCCTGCCTCTGCTGCAGGCAGGCAGTAAGGAGTGAGAGGTCCCAGACTGCGAGAGGGATCCCAGACTGTGAGAGGGCACAGGCCTGGCTGAGAGATGCCCCCACCCTGCCCCAGTGCACAAAATTTCATGCACCAAGCCTCTAGTTAATATTATATCAGGCTCTAGATATTGAATAGTACATAAAAAAAGACACTGTCATAGAAGTTTAGTGTGGGCAAAGGATATTAATCAAATAATCAGATACACAAGTGAAAACTGCAACTGTTACTGTAACAACTACTAGGAAAGAGTTATATAAGATGCTAGGAAAGTCTCTATTAAAGGGACTTGACCAATAAGTTCTTCAGACTACCTGAGAATTCTTGAAATGCCTTGAATTTTTTTAGTGCTCAAAGTACTTTCTCAGATATTGGCTTTATTCTCATGAGTTTTTGTTGTTTAAAATCTTAACAGAGTAAATATATATTTTAAAAGCCTGTAATTTATAAGTCAAGAGTCCTTGCCTAACTTTCTTTAAAAAACCTTGGCATTCTCTTCTTTTATGCTCAAAGCAAGCTCTTAAGGTTAAGTAGAAAACACAAGGGTATCCCAGAGCCTTAAAGGAATGGGATAGGGACCTAGCAATCTTCTCTGAAACAAATCTGGACCTATTCAACAATTATTAGAAACTTTGGAAGTTGTACATTTAAATAGCATCAGTGTAGTTATCAATTAGTTGCTCACTAGGTAGTATGACTAATAACTTGGGGTCAGGAGAAGTAATTTAGAACAGAACAAGGGTTTTGGTGATGCTGACATGCCTTGAACTCCGCTTGTTGAAACTGAGAGGCTATCTTGATACGTGGGAGAGGTCTGAAGTTTTTTCCATATCAACATAGTGCCTGGGAATGGCCCTACTTACCTTTGATACTTGCATAAATGTTATCTTTTTTTAATTACCCATGGCCACTAGGTAGGTGCCAACTACATAAACATCAAGAATTTGCTGAAAAGGAGAAACACACACTCATGACGTCTAAAAGGTTAACTTTGAAACACACAGTACCAGTATTTCATGGTTTTAGGCATCCTTAATTTTGTAGAATAAAACTCTTCTACTTAAAAATCTTCAGCAATTCCTTCCTGATAATACAAACCCCTCAACATGGTAAGAGAAATACTCTTGAATGTATTCTCTCTACGAATGCTCCCCTACTTTAAGACCAAACTTTTAGTTCCCTGCATATGTTTCTATATCTTTGTTCTTGATTCCTTCTGAAACATTCTTCTCCATCTTCTTCACTTGGCTAACATTCACATGTGATGTGGGAATTCCTTAAATATTCTATTCTCCAGAAAGTTCTTTTGGACTCTCTTAAGCAAGATTTTCCAAAGTATTCTGGATCATCTCTAGCACTATAATTTCTATTAGCGTCTTGAAGAGTCTATTCTCTCAAGAGTGTGAGTTCACTGAATCTCCTGCCCTTAGCACTGTGTCTGACACATAGCAGACACTAAATGAAGGTTTACTGGCTGAAGTAAGTAATTATTTTGTACCTTGTTGATAGCAGGATAACATCCTCTGGATGATATCTGGTACTGGTATACCTAGGTAGATGGACAGCTGATGGTAATCAAGGGAGATATTCTCAATGGGATTCTCCTTCACTTTGTCAATATCCTCTTGCTTCATTCCAAGGCGCAGAAGAGTATCAGAAACTTTTTTCCAAATTGAATTGAATTGTGACTCAGTGAGACCATTCATCAAAATCTCACTAAGGAGGAGATCCCTGTATTTGCACAGTCTCAGGATGTCTGCAGACTTAGAGCGATCAGAAGATGGTGGTTCCATATTCCAGCCATTTTTAGGTGCAGGGAATACATGCAAATGTTTTATGAGAGCTAATAGGAGGTATAAGTCAAATTGTTTGGATTGTGGTAGCTTCTTCTTTGGGGGATAAAGCAGATGCCATGCTCCACCCAAAGGGTGATTAGTCCAAAGATGTTTGTAGTAGGGTTCCAGCAGTTTCTTGTGAATAAGGAGCTCTTTTTTCAAAAGAGGGGGTGGCAGAGCCTCATCAAATATTTTCCGGACAATGTCAGTACCAGAAATAATAATTATATGAAGCAGATGATAGAAATAATTATAATCAAGTTTGAAGATAGGCATTTCATCTGAAAATGAATTTTGAGAAGTCAAAACATTCCACATTAATGCTATTTTCCTATGTGGTCTTCTGTATTACATCTTATTAGCTCCTTCCTATAGGACAGAGACTAGCACAAAAGAATGAAGTAAAGTACAGTGCTTTGCCATAGCCAGTACTCAATATGCATGCTGCTATCTGTCTAGCTGTCAGAAATTCAAAGAAAAATATTATATCCCCAAGCAAAAGTAATCACAAAAAATGATCACCACAGAAGCCTTTCAACAACTCAGGGTTTTGTTCAAGCAAATAAACTTTGGCAACCAAATAGCATAAAAGTATTCTGAAGATTGTCAAGAATGATGACTGCCAGTGTTTAATTATACTTTACTCAGGCGATTATATTTTATCTTAATCAGCACTGCCCAAGAGAACTTATGAAAATGTTTTAGATTTGCACTGTCCACTAGCCACTGAACACTGAAAATGCTGCTTGTCTGACAAAGAAACTGATTTTAAAATTTTATCTAATTTTAATTAACTTAAACTCAAATAGCCACATATGGCTACTGGCTCCACAACACAGAACTATATCAAAAGATTTAAAGTGATATAATGCCTTACACAAAGTGTAGACCATGAACCAGCAGCATCAGCATCCATATGGGAGCCTGTTAGTAAAGGAAACTCTTAGGCTGCACCCCAGAGCAACTGAACTGGCTACCTAACATTTTAACAAAATCACCAGATGATGTAAATAGCTATTAAAGTCTGAGACACTTATGTAATAAATCTCATGTTCTTATGCTCTAAAAAAAGAGTAATGATTAAGTGGGTATATCATCAATGAAATGGAGTAAGGCATGAGACTTAACTGTTCAGTATTTTTCTGGTTTGGTAGCACTTCCAATGAAGAAAATTAAACTGAGATGAATTAGAAAGTAGTAAGAATGTTGTAAATGATGGCATATTTGTTGTATTAATGTAAAATTATATTTATCATAAAATGCAGCTTTATTATTTTATCCTGTGTTTCAGAGAATTTTAAATGAATATTCTTGCTTGATATACTTGACATACACTGTGAAGGCAAGCAAGGTTACAAAGCAAATGACCCAGGGAGATTTCTGTGGTTTGCCAAATAAGGCTGGGATCAGGGACAACCATTCCCCCTAGCAAGAAGGAATGCCACCACACTATTCTTCTATGGGACCAGGACCCTAAGGTTTCCATGTGCTGAGTAGCTGGCATTTCCTAGCACATATTCCTAAATAGCTAGTAACTGAGTTTAGACTACTTGGTCTTGAATCCAAAATGTTCATTCCTTCCATTTGCTCTGTTAAAAGGGAATGCAACAAGGGAGGATTGGTAGAGAATCTGCTGAAGCCCAATATCATTGTGAAGTCACAGCTATGCACTAGATTAGCGAAGCTCTCTATAGAATACCAAGGTACTGTGAGACCCATACAACTGCTGATCTTTCTGTCCATAAATTCTAACCTATATCAAGTAATGCTTGCTAGTGTAAATGCTTGCCAATGAATGACAAACACATGGCTGTTAATGGCATGATACACATGGTTGTTAAGGGCATGATACTCTGTACAGAGTAAGTAAAAAATTTTAACACACTTTTCAATAGAAGGCATATAAAAATAAAATAATACCTTTTGTGCTAAATTTTAAATTGATCTTCGGTCTTATATCAGTATCAGTTCTTTTCAGAGACAACAACTTTTTATAACTGCAAGTGGAAAAAAATTGTTACAGTCAGTATCAAAGTAAGACAAGATTTCTGGTACCAGCATGGCTAAATATTTTCTTCTCTTTCTCCTGGAAATAATTTAAAATAAAAATGAATGAACAAACAAAAACCACCAACAATGAAAATTCAATATTGTCATTTCCATTGGAATTAAGAGGCAAATAGAATTTCTAGATTTCATATCTAAAAAATTAACACAACTAGCTTATTTGCAAAAATGCTGTATAGTAGTGGGAAAAAAGAAATCTTTGCACTGTAAAAAAACAAGCAAAACTAAAACTCCTCCCAGGTCTTCCCAAACCACAGAATCGTCTTACCAATAATTATTCTAAGAAAATTCAATTCATTTACTGACAAATGATTTAAAAAAGAGAGAAAGAAACTGGCATAACAGCAACACAGATAATTAGAAAAAAATTAAGGGAAAAGTAGCAAGATTTGTTAAACAGACTAAACACTAAGCAAATGTTGTCATAACACAGATAGCAAATCCAGATAAAGATGGTACAAAAAGAAAACTGTGAATCAATTTCTCTTAGGAACATAGAGCAGAAATCCAATAAACATTAGAAAACTGAATCCAGTGATAAGATTCTCTCCTTAACTAAACTCTAGTAAGTCTCCTCTGAGCTCTTTTCCAGGTAGGCCCCATGCTTGTCCATGTCCTAAAAAGCGCAAATTTAACAAGAATCACCTAAGCCAGCAACCTCAACCAATAGCAGAGGACAGTCAACAGCTTACCTGAACACAAAGCTCAGCCTGCAGCCTTGCCAAACTTAGGGCACAGCTTGCAGTCCTACCTGATCTCAGAGCACAGCCTGACGATCCATCTGATGAAGCCTGGCCTATAGCCCCACCTGAATGTGAAGTCCAGATGGTGGTACCATCTGGTCAGGGAGCACAGCCTGAGGCCCCACCCAACGAGAGCAATACAGAGCATAGCCTACAGCAGTGATGGTGAACCTTTTGAGCTTGGCGTGTCAGCATTTTGAAAAACCCTAACTTAACTCTGGTGCCATGTCACATATAGAAATTTTTTGATATTTGCAACCATAGTAAAACAAAGATTTATATTTTTGATATTTATTTTATATATTTAAATGCCATTTAACAAAGAAAAATCAACCCAAAAAATGAGTTCACATGTCACCTCTGACACGCGTGTCATAGGTTCGCCATCACTGGCCTACACCCTGATCCAATCCCACTGGTGGCAATGCTCTGCCAAGGGTCAAAGCCTGTGAACCTGCCTGACCAGAGGTGATTACAGAGCATAGCTAGAGGCCTTACCTAACTGAAGAAAATAGCCACTGGCCCCACCTGACCAGGGAGCCCACCCAGCAGTCCCACTTGAACATGGAGCCCAGCTACAAGCCCCACCCAACCATGAAGCTCAGCCAGCAGCACCCCACTCCCAACCTCGAAGCTGCTGTGGCTTCGCATAACTAGAGAACACAATAGGAATCTCACTTCCCTTTAGACCAGCCGTGGGCAAACTACGACCCGCCCGGCCCGTTTGAAATGAATAAAACTAAAAAAAAAAAAAGACCGTACCCTTTTATGTAATGATGTTTACTTTGAATTTATATTAGTTCACACAAACACTCCATCTATGCTTTTGTTCCGGCCCTCCGGTCCAGTTTAAGAACCCATTGTGGCCCTCGAGTCAAAAAGTTTGCCCACCCCTGCTTTAGACACTACCAGGTGACTCATTCAGTACCCCACTAAGCTGAGCTGACTCGTGAAGGTCTTTCCCTGCCAAAACAAAGTCTGCAAGAGGAAACCACATACTCAAATGTGCAGATACCTGCACATGGACACAAAGATCATGAAGAATCAGATAATATGACATCGCCAAAAGTAATTCTAATAAGTGACTGTAAAAAATGGAGATTTGAACTATCTGACAAAGAATTCAGAATAATCCTTTCAAAGAAGTTCAGTGAATTACAAAAGCATACAGAAAACTAAACAAAATTAGGAAAATAATACACAAACAAAATTAGAAGTTCAGCAGAGAAACAGAAACCATTAAAAAACAACAGCCGAGACCGGTTTGGCTCAGTGGATAGAGCGTTGGCCTGCGGACTGAAAGGTCCCAGGTTCGATTCCGGTCAAGGGCATGTACCTGGGTTGCAGGCACATCCCCAGTAGGAGATGTGCAGGAGGCAGCTGATTGATGTTTCTCTCTCATCGATGTTTCTAACTCTCTCTCTCCCTTCCTCTCTGTAAAAAATCAATAAAATATATTTTAAAAAAACAACAACAACAACAAAACATCCAGAAATCCTAGAGCTGAAGAATCACTGAATGAAATGAAGAAATTAATAGAAAGCTTCAACAACAGATTCAACAAAGAGAAGAACCAGTGAACTCAAAGGCAGATCATTTGAAATTACGTAGTCAGAGAAAAAAGAACAGAGAATGAAAAAGAGTGAAAATAACTTATAGAACTTATGGGACAAAAGATCCAATGTATATGGAAATCCCAAAAGAAGAGAAAGAGAAAGGAACAGAAAATCTTTTTTTTTCTTTTTAACTAGGTACTTTTGTATATTTAAAAAAAAATTATTTATGTAAATATTTATTGCTTATGTACAGTTTATTTTTTCAAAATTACCTTTATAGTTAAAAGTATTACAGATGTCCCCTGTTCCCCCCATTGACCCACTTCACCTTTCTGCCCCCTCCCCCAGGCCTTCAATGCTATGTTCATGGGTCATACAAATATGATATAAGTTCTATGGTTAATCTCTCCCTGCACCCCCTTTTCTCCTTCCCCTATTCCCTCTGAGATTGTCCCTTTACCAAACTTGGGGTAAGAAATAAATATTCAGATTTATGAGGCTCAAGAGCTTTAAATGGGTTGCAGCCAAAAGGTACTACACTGAGACACATTAAAATTAAATTTACAAACATCGTAGATAAAAATAGAACTTTGAAAGAGCAAAAGAAAAGCAACATTGCCTTGACATTGGACTGGCAATAATTTTTTGGATTTGACACCAAAAGCACAAGCAACAAAAGGAAAAACAAACAAGTAGGAACTACATCAAATTTAAAAGCTTCTGTACAGCAAAAGAAACAATCAACAAAATTAAATGGCAACCTACTTACTGAATGGGAGAAAATATTTGCAAATCATTTATCTGATTAGGGGTTAATATCCAAAATATGTAAGGAACACATACAGCTCAATAGCAAAAGAACAAATATTGTAATTTTAAAAATCATTATAGGACTTGAATAAATATTTTTCCAAATAAGATATAAAATAGCCAATAAGTCCATGAAAAAGATGCTTAATATAACCAATCATCAAGAAAAATGCAAATAAAACTACAAGAATATATTACCTCAAACTTATTAAGAAAAAAGATAATAAGTGCTGGCCAGGACATTGAGAAAAAGGAACCCTGTGCACTGTTGGTGAGAATGTAAATTGACAGAGCCATTGGATGAAAGAGTATGGAAATTCCTCAAGAAATTAAAACAAAACTGATCCAGCAATGCCACTTCTGGGTATATATTATATAGGCAAAGAAAACAAAATCTCATTTTGAACGACAACTACATCCCCATTTTCACTGCCATATTATTTACAGTAACCAAAACATGGAAGCAGCCCAAGTGTTTATCAACGGACTAATAGATAAAGAAAATGTTGGACACGCACGCATGCACGCACACATGCACATACATATACACTGGAATACTATTCATCCATAAGAAAGAGGGAAATCCTGCTATTTGCAACAACATGGATTAACCCAGAGGGCATTGTGCTAAGTGAAATAAGCTAGATAGATAAATACTGTATGATTTCACTTACATGAGGGTGCTAAAAAAAAAAAAAGAAAGCTCACAGAAACATAGAGGAGACTGGTGATTGGTAGAGCAGTGCAGGGCAAAGAGATAAAGGAGTCAAAGGATATAAACTGGGGATCCAATGTACAGCAAGGTGAACATAATTACAATAATGTATTGTATACTTGACAGTGGCTAAGAAAGTAAATATTAAAAGTTCTCAACACAAACAATGTTAATTTTGTGAGATAATGGAAGTGATAACTAACTTTATTGTGGAAACTGTTTCATAGTAAGTACATATATCAGATCATCATGTTGTACACCTTAAACTTACACAATGTCATATGTCAGCTATAGCTTAGTAAAGCTAGAGAAAGAAAACAGCAGCAATATGAAGAAAGTAAACAGATCACGACCAACTGTTATGTATCCAGGAATATAAAATTAATTCAACATTTGAAAATAATATAATTCAGCACATTAACAGATTAAAGAAGAAAAACTTATAATTACAGGAATGCTGCAAAAAGCATTAATTCAATCCCATTAATAAGAAATTTTTTGGAAAAAAGCAGGAAGAGAAAAGAATTTCTTCAATTTGAAAAAGGGCATCTATAAAACAATCTACAGCTAACAACATACTAAATGGTGAAAAACTGAAGGGATCTTCCTAAGATCTGGAAAAGACAAACATGTCTGCTCTTACCACTCATATTTAACACTATACCAGGGGACATAGCCAGAGCAATAAAAAAATAATAAGAAAGTACATATAGATTAGAAAAAAAAGAAAGTTATCTTTATGCACAGATGACATGAACATCTATATAAAACCTAAAACAATCTACATAAGGTTACTGGAACTATTAACTCTCAACTCACAGGATACAAGAGGTTAATATAGGAGGAATCGAAGATGGCGGCGTAGGTAAACACCGGAGACCGCCGCCGTAAACAACCACTTCAAAAATACAGCTAAAGGTCGGAACGGACATCAACCAGAACCACAGGAAGGCTGGCTGAGGAGGGACTCTTCAACTAGAAGCAAAAACAACAGCATTCCGACGCACAGAGGAGGCGCAGTGTGGACAATTTAAAGGTACGGTGGTGCGGCGGTGCGCGCCAAAGCGGGCTGGTGGCTGAGGGCGCGGTTGTCGTTTTCACTCAGG